GGATATCTCATGGTTTCTTCAGGAATAATAGATAGCTTGCAGCATCAGGATTTTGGATTTTTACTTGTTGTGCACAAGCCTCAGCTTAGCATGACTTTTCCAGATCTTACTATAGTCTTTTAACAGACTTAAGATAATTATTGGGGTGCTCATAACGTTTTGTGGAGAGGACTCCCACCAGTCGTCTCGGGAAAGGTATGACAACACCTGTGATTAGGGTTCCAACGGGCTGGACGTTGTGATGAACCCTTAACCATTGTTCAAATGTTGCCCATACCCCCTCTGACTCGGTCTCTTGCCTCAGCATTCCCTAACCCGGCAACTGAGTTTTAGTCAATCAAGTTTAAATAGGACTCCCATAGTGGGACCGGGGAATGTACGGCCCGAGATGCCTATTAAACTTAGAGGTGTGTGTGTGTCTGGGGGTGGGGGGGAAGTCCTTAGTAAATCCAGATTAGAACTGGTCTGATAAATGCTGAGCTGGGTGTGTGTGAACATGGGTTGATTAACATTTGGAGCACAGATTCCCCATCATGCAGTGCTCCCCTGCTTCTCTGGTCCCAGAATTCACTGCAGTTTCTGCTTCATGCTTTCTGTTCTCTATCTCTCATTTAAATGAATGGTCATCTGGTTCCATCTCGGATGCAAATGAGACCTAGGGCAGTTGGTTCACTCTTGTCACCCTTATCTGGAGGGTCTTAGGTGTGTCTCTCACTGCACCTTAATCAGTTTCGTTTAAGTAGGGGGGGTGAGTCCTTTGTGAGTCAAACAGACTGCATCCTGTGCTAGGGTTGCCCAAGAACACACAGCTGAGATGTAACAAATGTGAGGATGGTAAGATGTGAGGATCTCAGTTGGCCTTGGGCACTATCCCAGCGTCCTCCAGATTCTCTCTGTCCTTTTCCTTTTATGTTAATATCTTCCCTGTGCGATTTCCCCAGAAGAATTGCCACTAAATAACCACTTTTCCCCATTCTGCTCAAATAAGATTATAGTGTTCAAATATGTAAGCAGAGTTAGGAATGGAGATTAAATCTCTTAATAAAGGACCAGCCCTGGATCTTCCCTAGTTAAGGGTGCTGTCAATTCTCATTACTCTTCAAAAATATCAATTTTTTGGTAAAAGTCCTATAAGTATTTTTAAATGCATTATTTATTTATTTATTAGATAGATATTCCTTTCCCAGCAAAAGTTCAAGGCAGCTTCTGATAGGAGGAAGATTAATTTACAAATGCAGGTAGAGTATTAAATGAGATATAAAACAACACCTGAAGTAACATGCCAAGTTAGCCTTGCTTCCTAAATGCCTGCTCAAATAACATATTAGTGCTTCCAGAAGATGTCCAGACTCACCCTCTGACTCCAGGTAGAAGAGTCTGATTTTGTATTAAATTCTCTCAGATTTTTTTTTAAGTCTCAAGTTATCTCTCCCAAAAATCTTTTCTGACTTGGACAGAAGTCTTGAGCCTCACATGATTCTCTTGCCTGTTTAACAGAGTGGATTATCATAAGACTGAATCTTGGCACACGAGAAAACAGGTTGACCATAAAGGGGAGAATTAAACTGATTGTGCACAAAATGCCACCAAGTATGCATGGTAAACTACCTGACACAGAGGTATCTTTCCTTTTTATTAACTTATTTCAGTTCAGCCCTCCTAGATATTGCTGGTAACTATAGAATGTTAAAAATGTGCAAACTGGAATCCACAGGTTACCACCTGTCACTTAGGTCTATGCTTTCATTGTTTTGGTGTTCTTTAAACAGACTTCTTTGTTTATGAGCTATCAATTTTGAGAGGGCTGTCTTTGTATTTTGCAGGGTCCAACCTAAAAGTCATCAGCACAATGTCTGCAGGATTTGACCATCTTGCTCTGGAAGAAATTAAGAAACGGTAAAGTTCACTTTTCTTGTAGCAGCTGTTAAATATGGAATTTACTTTTTTCTGATGTGTTCTGTCTGCTCTGTCATTTGATGAATTAAGCAGTCATGGGTTCAGTGAAACCAAACTCGAAAGGAGGAAGACTGGTTTTTAGTTTAAGTCTTGAGTTGGAACTTCAGAAGATTTTGGTTCTATTCCCTGGTTCTGCACAGATTTTGGACAAGTCACTTAGGTCCAGATCCTGAAAGACTTTCAGTGGGAGTTAGGAACCTAAATACCTTTAGGATCTGACCTTAATTTTGCAGTGTGGCAGTTTTCCATCTGTAAAATGGGCATGATAAATTTCGCTCCCTCTCAAGGGTCTTGTGAAGATAAATTCATTGTTGTTTGTGAGATGCTGCAATAATGTGGCGATAGGGTGTAATGCATGTAAGCACCTTTGTAGAAGAAATACCTGAAAGAGTTAGATACAGCACAAACAGGTTTTGATCAAGATGTAAATAAGCTAGGCAATTGGATTGCTATCAGTTATCCCTTGCAGAACACAGTGCTGTCTTTGGATTGCAGTGGGATCCGTGTGGGATACATCCCGGACATACTGACAGATGCTACTGCTGAGCTTACAGTAGCTTTGCTCTTAGCCACGTGTCGCAGGCTGCCAGAATCAGTGGAGGAAGTGAAGAAGTGAGTATTTACAGTCTAGCACTGGGCTCTTGAGCCCTGTGAAGTTCACTGTGAATCTGGAACAACCCCTGGAATGAGTTATGAATGTAGTGCTGAGCAGTATACCCCTGAAAAAGTACTCTGTGCATGAATGAGGTCAAATAGATACAGAAGAGGCCATGCATGTTACACTCGCTTTGGATTGACACTACAGTAGTTGAAATCTTGTGATCCCAGTGAGTTAGGCATGTTTATGTCTAGGCACAAACTGTAAGGCCTAAATTTCTATGCTAATGCAGGAAT